CAAGGGCTTCCCCCTGCAAGGTCAGGTGAGCTCCAGCCCCCCTGGCTCTGCAGGGTGGAAGCATGTGGATGTGAATGGAATTCATGTCCTCCAGGGCCTGTTTGCTCCTGGAGCCACAGAGCATTTCTCAGTTAAACCCCAGAGCAGGATGTTCTGGCGGTTGCTGGGGTTTTAAGGGAATGTTCTGTCAGAGCAGGAGGCCAAGCTGAGCAGCAGGCACGTTTTGGGAGAGGCAGGTGATGCAGCCAAGCCCCCAGAGGTTGAGATTTCCATGGAGGTGCTGACCGACACTCAGGTTTGTGATGAGCTCTGGGACTTGGGCAGATTTCCTGATTTCTTCTTTCCCTTCTATTCCAAGCAAGGGCTTGATCTCATTTTCACAAAATCAGTGATAAAACTCTTCCTGGGCTCACCAGGACAATTTCTGTCTCTAAATGCACATGTTACTGCCTGAGGAATATTCATCTGAGGAATATTTGTCACTGGGAGTGCTGCAGTGGGCTCCATGAATCCCACATGCCCTGCTCCATCCATCCTGCAGGTGACACAGCTGCTGCTGGGGATTTGCACACCTGGCAGGGGATCATGAACTGGGAAAAAGCAGCAGGGATTCTGCCCTGCTCTTCCTCTGACACTCTCCAGCTCTGCCTAACTGCCAGTACCACATCCATGAGATCATTCCAGTGACCCCCACTGCATGGCAAGCATTATTTAACAGGTGATAAACAGCCACCAGGACATCATGAGCTCTCCCATCCATCCCCAGCTGCTCCTGCACCCTCGGGGCTGTGCTGAGCCAGCCGTGGTCCCCCTGGCATGGGTGTCCCAGCCAGCCCTGCCCTCTGGCACTGCAGCCATCCCCTGTCCCCCTGTGCCTGTCCCTGTCACAGGAGCTGCTCTGGGGGCCCTGGGCCTCTCAGCTCCTCCAGGGTGTGCAAAGTCTTCAGGGGTTTCTCCCATTTGCTGCAGGACGGAAGTGGCTGGGGAGGGATTTTGTTTGCAGATTTCCAAAGGTCCTTTGTCCCCAGCAGAGTTTGGATCCAAACACTGACACAGGCAGCTCTTGCTGCAGTGGAACCCAGTGCTGCAGTTCAGAAAACAAGCAATGCTTTTATCTCCTCATTCCAGACCTGTCTTTGCTCCCTGTGGACCTGAAATCTCCAGCTGACAGCCCAGACCTCCAGATTCTCTCTTACAAATGCTGTGTTTAAAATAGACAACCTTTCTTCCCATAAGGATGCTAAACTATCTTAAATTGTCTTTTTTCTTTTTTTCCCAAATGGATATTTTATTATTTGATTTTTCTCTGATTAGCAGTGACATTAGCAGCAGAACAGTTCATTAACCTGTGCAAGAAGAGATTTATATTTTTATTAATTGTCACCACTGCTGTTAGTAGAGAACAGAACATTTAATAGCAAGTCAGTAGCTCCTTTGCTGAGTTTGTAGTGGTTTGAAGAGGCGCACACTCAGCACTTTGTTTGATGTGTGTGTTTATGGGAAATGTGGTTTGTTTTTATGCCTTCCCTGGTTAGCAAACATTTTGAGGGTGCATTTCAGAGCAGAGAGCACACTGAGCAGCGCTTCAGTCACTTGGAACTTTGTGTCTTGGTAGAACTTTTTCACCCAAACAGCTGCAAGCTGTGGCTGAAGGGTTGTTTGCTTTTGTGCCAATTAGCAGTTTGAGAACTCGGTGGCCTGAAATGAGCCTCTCAACTCATTTAATGCAGATAGGTCTGCAAAGAAAATTTGGGAATTAGCAACATCAGTGAGAGGCCTCCCTCCCTTCTCAACTAACTGTAACAAATTTCCTAGTGTTCAAATAATTATTTGTTAACTTTTAGCACATTGGATTCAGATTAGAGGACAAAACATTCCCTGTAAAAAAGCAGCTTCAGCAAAAAGAGCCACATAACCATAAGGCCTCCTAATCAATGAGTCACAGAGAGGTTTTAATGGTCTGATTTATTTGGAAAAAATCAGTTAACTTGTACAGTTATCTGTCACTTTTAATGCTGCTCCTTTCCAGGAGTGTGGAGGGAGGTGCTGAGAGACCAGATGGGAATTCAACATCCCTGGGGCTCTCTGGAGAAGGGGTTTGGAGAACTCAGGTCCCTCCTGAGCTCTTTGCAAACCTGCCTGGGGTTAAAGGATGTCTGTGGGCTCAGGGCAAAGCCTGGGAGCGCAGTCTCAGCTTAGGAAGGGAAGGAAATAGAGAAGCACAGCCTGAGATGTGCCAGAGCTGGATTGTCCTGATCCAAAGGGTCCCCAGGGCTTTCCAGTCCTCACCACCTCAAAACCAGCCTGACAATGGGGATAAGGACAAGTGAGAAGGAAAGCAATGGCAGGAGAAAGACAGATACAGAAGAGGCATTAGAATTTGAAATTAAATCCGGCCTCATCAACAGACACAATTAAAATGATCCATGGAAGAGATTAGCCAGTAAATAGCTTGCAGCCATATGGCTGGAAATAAAGCACAAATAACCAAAAATAAAACCTCAACTGTACAGAAATAATCCAAAACTCCACTTTTTCTGGGTTTCCTGGGGTGGCAGAAGTGTGGAGGGAGGGAAGGAGGGCAGGGCCTGGTGGGGCAGTGCTGGAGCACAGTGCTGAGCTTGTCCTGCTTTGCATTGATTGGAATTGTAATGCTTGCCAAGGGCACCTTGAGCTTTCAGAAAGGCCCCATTGTTCCTGAGGACCTGGAACTGAGAAGAGCAGGAGATCATTCCTGGGGAGCTGCTGGTGCTGCCCAGCCCTGCTGGGGCCAGAGTGGGGTTGATGCAGCATCAGCAGCTCTGATCTGTGCCCAGGGAGGGCTGGAGATGGGAGAAA